CTGCTATAGAGGTATTATTCTGCCCATTCTTTTCAAACGGTTCCGGTGTTCAGACGCCGTTGGGTGGTGTCCCGTCTGGAACGCGAACCCACGCGCCGCAGGGTCGCTTCGACGCCGTTGGCCTCGTAAGTCTCAGCTTTCTTCTTCTTTCGTGGGCGTGTTTTCTCCTCTTGTGGCGAACGGTCAAACATTCCCTCTCTTAGTAGCGTACGATGTACAATAACAAGGAAAGGAAGAAAAGAAGCATGAACGAGAGACCATCCTCACTCCTCCAAGTCCAATCGACCCATTTCCCCTCACCCCTTGCTTCAAGACCACGCCGATATGCAGACAACCAAATGCTTAGACTGGAAATCGAAAAAGCAGGAGGAAATGACACGTCCGACGCCACCAAGCACACCTATCGCTCGCTGGTCAACGAGAGTAGTGAGAAAGGTCCGCTCCAAAGAAGCTTCAGCTTTGTCTTGAACCAGCTCCCTATTCTGCCCACGGCGCCATGTGGCCTGTTCCCCCGTCCTCCTCCTCCCACGCTCTGTCCCAAAGGAGAGGCACGCATCTGTGACGGGATGCACGAGTGTGCAGATTCCCGGCCACCACCATCGAACTCCAACCATCGACACCACTGTCGTCCCATTTCTAGGTAGGGAGAGAGGGTGAGGAGGGGGGACAGACTAGACCTTACAGACACCCTCGCGCTGGGCTTGCCTCCCACACCTCTGCACCAGTCTTGTGCGTGGTGGTTGCGACCCCTCCATTTCAACTGCGCAGCCATCGTTGACCAGTCACTCAGTCACTCGACGCCAAACATTCAACAGCCCATCTTGCCTCCCAAGCCAAGTGTAGGGTAGGGTCATTTCCCTCTGCGGCCTCCTCCACCTCCTCGCCACCCAGGCCAATGTAGGGGCAAAATTACACACAATAGACGCTCAGCTAAGATTCCTCCCATACTCGCGTCCACATCCAGTCGTTCCACGCCCGTGGACTCCCCTCTCTGGCCTGGGCTGTCCCAACTTGGACTATTGAAGGTGTAGCCTGCATCAGACCGGGCTGACCGGACCACACCGTGAGCAAGAAAGGCGCAGGAAGGGGGCTGATGACAAGGCAAGCAGCTTATGTGTTGCTGGTGGTCTCTCATACCCACCTCTCTGGGAAACGATAGAGCCGATACTGGCTCACCTGGCCATGAAACCTCGTCCTCCTGATGAAGCAGAAACTTTCTTCGCTCTCAGCCTGCTTCTTTTTCGTAAAAGGTAACCGCCATCTCACCGTCGTGTCAGCCAGCCTCACGGGATATTTCCTATCACGGAAAACCCACCCCTCCATATTTGATCCATGATGGTCTAGTGGGGGAGAAAGGTCACCGAGCCAGGTGAGCCGTGAGCCGGTCCAGCCCTGGCGAATAAGGAGGTAAGTCCCGGTCAGCAGTCCAATGAGAGGTTGTCATCTTCGTTCCTGAGAGTAGCTCTCTTCGGCATTTCTTTTTGCTACTTCGTTTCCTGCCGAATCTGCCAGGGGCATTCCCCTCCGCCTGGGACCAAGGTCAAGGGGATTCGATCCTTGCCATTGCAGTCCAGTTTTCTCGCTCGAGAGCGGGCGCTGTCGAGCTATTGTTGGTTGGCTTACGGATCACCAACACTGCTTTTCATCATTTCATCTTGAGGCTCATTTCTGAGCTACCGGGGGGTGGGATCAGAGCCCTGGCCAGCTGTCAGCGAGCTTTCATTGGGGAATGGGAATTTCCTCTGAAATTTGGGCCGGATTCCGTCCGCCGTGGGTGAGCGCGCGCGCGCGCGCGCTCTTGCGGCCTGCCTTGCAAGGCCCCGGCCGGACCTAACGGCGAGAAACCACGGAGTTTTTGTTTGGGGGGATCCAATCAATGGAACCCGTCCATCTCCCGAGCCGCCGGGCCTAGACCGTCCGTTCACACTCTACTTCCCCTGTCATCTCACTGCCCCCCCTGTTCGAGGTGGACAGGAGTTCGGAGTTTGTTGATCAGTGAAGAAAAATCTACCCCTTGAGCTCTTGTTTCTAACGGACATTAACCGGCTATTTGATACAGATTGCTGATCTTGTCCAGATGGGTAGACACGGCTTTGAAGTTGTGAGAAGAGGCCCAGAGTCAGGGGCGCACAGGGGGCTGTTGGCAAGATACCGGTATGGCAGATGGGAGTTTGCACAAAAAAAGAGACCGGGGGCGTCTCGGAGGTGATACATCATGCACCCCTTGGCAAGTTGGCACTTTTTTGTGTTCATGGCGCTCGACTTTTTGATTCACAACGGCAGTTGGTTGGGGGGAAACAAGAATTGAGAATTGGAAAGGAAAAAGAAAGCACGAATTGTGACGGAAACAGCCGGTGAGCTGTCGCACAGACTGCCAATCTTCACCGATGAGGGTCCCCCCGTCTCCGGGCTTTCTTTTTCTCCTCTCTCCACGCCATGCCATGCCCGCATGTCGCTGGCCGGTAGGGCGAACCTCCGGCACGGGAGCTGGGGCTCCACACCGGTGGGATGTGGAGCGATCGGAGCTGTTGCTTGGGAGAGAGGGGAAGAGGAAGCTACCACAGCTATCTGGACATCAGTAAGCAAAAGACGGGAGGCCGCAGCTTTCGATTCGGGGATGAGAGCATGGCGGCGAGCTGTGGCGGCGCTTCTGCTACTCCCTTGCTTTTCGGTCTGCTGAGGATGGGGATGAGGATGGGAGCAGGCGAGGATGCAGGTGCCCGCGCATCAAGACAGCTCGGCTTGCCTAGCTTGGGGTCGCGCCAGGCCACCGAGGCGCCTTTTCAGCTGTGCTGACGATGAGGAGAGAGACGGGCGATCGCGTCGAGAATGCCAGCATCCGTGGACCGTCAAGTTTTTGGGCGTAATAGCTAAGTCTCCGGTGAGCAAGGGTTGCTGCTGCAGTGCAGATGGGATCAGAGCAGCTGGATGTGCGTCTCCTAGTGTGAACGCGCAAGAGCTGAGGGATCCGGACACACGTTAATGCTCCACGAATCGACCGGATCGTTTTCTTCATGCAGGTCTCATCACGATGAAGGAAGCGTATCTCGGTTAGAGACAGATCGGTCTGGCTGCCGAGTGCCATTTTAGGGAGGAGATCAGTTTCGGAGGAGGTCCAAGGAGGACAATTTTGGTCTTTGGTTAGTGTATTCACACGTCGATGTTGGGGATGGGCGAGGCGATGGTCGGGCGATCTAGATGGCGCCAGGGGTTGAGATCGTGCGGGTCATAGATTTCGGTTTTTGCTAGGATTATTTTGTTTGTTGGAGTGCGTTTTTTTCCAGCTCTCTCAAGCTTGACCATGTTGGTGAGTGCGAAGAATTCATCCCCCTTGTCTAGCTGCGGGGCGATGCTCTTGGAGGCATCACAGTGACGAAACAGAAAAGATTCGACTGATATGGTCTTCTTGGCCTCTCATTCAGCAAGCGATATGAGCACCCATGCGTCTGAAACCATTATTGATCATGAAGCCATATCGGCAAACTCACGCACGCAACCTCGCAAGGACTGGTTTGGATTTCTTTGTGAGTGATTTAACAGCCCCTGGAAACAATTTCACACGCTGGAATTCGGAATTCGGGGTGAGTTTTCATGGATGGCGGGGGAGACAGGTTGGAACGTCGCACGAATTTGCACCGCGTCGATAGCACAAACACAAGGCCTGAGGGCAGAGACCTAGCCATGGCGTCTCGCTCTGCCTCTCTGCCTGTACGGTTGCAGTTACCCGACAGATGATGCGCCACGATCATGCAATCCTCGACCGTTGGTGCTTCCATCTCCATCATAGGCGTGACGGCCCTTCTCAGAGAAAAGGCCAGGCTTTGGTTGCGTCTCTCCGCTGGACCGGCTTTGCATGATCGAGGGCCTAATTCAATCCCTTATGGTGCATGACAGCCATTGGAAGACGGGGTTTGCTCCGGGATTGTTGCAAAATCGGAAGGGGGGCACTTCGTTGATGACAAGGATGAAGCTCCGTGGCCGAATGTCTCTTGGTGCGTGAATCTGGTTACAAGACGTGCCTTGCACGCGATGGAGGGAGGGTCAGCGTAGAGACGGCTCGTCGAGATACAGACACACTCTGAGAGGAGTGTGAAATGAACTTGATATCGATGTTGGATAGCTTCGTCTGGCGTGGGGGTTGGCGGTTTGACGACTTCTGACAGCACCGAGGATTTCACGGGAAGGCGAGTTTCAACTGGCTATCTTGGGCTCTCTACTTTTCTTATTCGTGGCAATGATAACACCTTTTCAGCTTGGCTGTGCAGATGCTTGACTGAAGTGTCTACGATGATAACAAGCTATCCCCGGTAGCAAATGCTCCTCAGAGACTCACAGATAGTCTGGATTTCTGTTTCACTTCAGCTACATGTACATCGCTTCGCAAAGCGGCAAAGAGAGTCCCCCCTGGTCGCTTCGGACCTCTGATGTCGTCGTCATGCCTGAGTAGCATAGTTTTAGGGCTGGACAAGGGAGGAGGCAAGATTGTGGGAATGCCCCGGCTTAATGAGAAGGAAATCAAGTCCAGTTGATATCCATAAAGTGAGAGTTACTATGCTGTTCAACTAGTGGCATGGAAAGAGAGTCACGCTTTCTAATCATGCAACACGCTATTGCAGAAGTAATACGGAGGTAATGGCGACCTTTGAAATCACTAACAGGGATCCTCTCATTCAACATGATCAGACGTCTATTTTCAGCCGTGATGTCAAGGAAAGTGAGGCGACACCGTCTAGTTCGAGGTGATGAAGATTACCATAGGAGCTTCTTCAACAATGCCTAAACTGACCTTTCGATTCTATCGATGTAATTGAGCTAGGCTATTACACAGTCCCTATTCTTCTCACGCGACAACTACGCAACCCCCGGAACCCCCAACATGCCGGATGCTATGCCGTCTCTCACCTCCTCATACATTCTACTGGTGTACAGTCCAGTCGATGAGCCACACTACCTGCCGGGCTTGAATCATGGCGGCCTCGGTCAACATAAATGAAGTTTATTTAGTGAGGGTGGCAGATCCAGAGGTTGTTGTCAACCACATCAATAGCCTTGCTATCGACCTGCTTGCCACTCGCATCAAAGGGGCAGACGCGGCGAAGACCGCACTTGATATCACAGGCACCCTCATTGTCTCCCTTACACAGAGCGACCTCGTACCGGCTGGCGTGGCGGTCGTGGTCCTTCTTGCAGCGGTTCGTCGTGATCTTGTACTGCGCGCGGGGTCCCCAGCCGTTGAGCGGCGTGAAGCCCCAGTTGTCGGTATCCTGGCCGACCATGTTGGCACGGCAGTTCTGGTGCGCCGCGACGTGGGTGTAGCCGTTGGCGGCCATGTAGGCCTCGGTGTGTTTGTCGAGGATGAAGGAGTAGGAGGAGAAGTCGCCGTTGGACGGGATGCTGCCGGCGAGGCACTGTGGGATCACGCGGGTGTAGTACTCCTCACAGGCGTAGGCGTTATTTACGGCCTTGAAGTCGTTGGCGGTCGGGGAGGCCCAAGGGTCGATCTTCTTGTCCGTGATGGTTTCCATTGTGTGCTTCAAGCTTGCCGAGCCGGAGATGGGCGTCAGTTTGTTGGTCTTGGCAAAGGCCTTGGTGTCGTAGAGCATGACGGAGTTGTAGTCGAAGGGGACGGAAACGTCGGCGCCCGTGTGGATTGTGAACTGGTCGAGTTCGTCCTTTTGGACACGGTCTGTAAGGACGCGAATGTATTGGTCACGGTCGGGACGTTGGTGCTCGTGGGTGAGTCCGATGAGATGTCCAAGCTGAAATTCTGGCATGAGTCCCAGTACACTGTAAAGATGATATGGTATATTTTTACCTCGTGGGAAGGCGTGCCGGCGTCGAGGCAGGCCTTATGCGTTCCCGCAGAAAGAAACTTCTCCCAAGCATTGGGGTAATCGAGATTGACGAGTCTCTCTCCCGAGCTAGGAGAGCCTAAGCCCAAGGAATAACATCCTTCGTCAAACTAGGAGTCACTTAGTCACGTAGCCCAAACCAAGTTTCTTTTCAAATTTTTATTATACCTTTTTGAAGTTGGCCCAGGCACCTTGGCTCGTCTTGGGGAGGAAACGGATGCAAGTCGACTGCTCCCACTCTCTCATAGCGGACCGGATCGACTCTGAAAGGTCGTGAGGGAGGCCTTGCAGGATGTACGGGACCTCTGCGGCGTCCCAGAGCTGATAGGGGTACATGGAGCCGCGCTTCTCCAGAGACATGGCCTCGATCTCGGAACGATTGAAGATGTTTGTCGGGAACACGGCGGCGAGAGCCGGTTGCGAGAGGGCGAGGGCCAGAGCCGCGACGCTCTTAAACGAAACAGAGGCCATCTTCAGCGTTGAAAGTTCAAGACTTTGGAAAAGATTACTTGTTGGAACAAAAGAGTGGATGCTGTGTCTTCCTTGAATGAGTGATGGAAGAACTACAGACTATTATATTACACAAAGATCGCGGCGTGAGGTCAAGGGGAGACTGAAATGAGATTCACGCGCTGGTCAACTTGTGCGAGGATATTGTATTTGACTACTTGGGCGGACTCATATTCTTTATGGACTTACATTCACGCGCACCGGAGTTGAGGTTGTCCAGTCCACGCATCAGTCAGTTTCTTGTAAGCCGTTCGGGGCTTCCGCAACAGAACACTCGCACTACCTCAGTAGAGTTTAATTACAGGTTCTGGGCCTGAATCAGTTGATCAACTTGATAGAGCGAAAGATGGAGCAAGATGGTCTGTTCGTGAGACTCTCAAGAAAACTTGCCATCCGTGCTGAGGCCCGCTAGTTAGCATTGAACAACGTGAGGGGAAAATTGCCTAAGTGCTCCGTAGAAAGGGCAGAAAAGATCTGCGACCGTACAGACGGAAACTTGGGAAGTCTGAGGGAAGCAGGGCGGTGGTTAATATGTGAAGGTTCTTAAGGCCGTCCTCTTGAGTCAGGTTACTTCTTCGCTACGGTTAACTCCCTGATATGGGTCTACGGCAAGTCTCCTTTACGGGTATAGTGGCTTGAGCCTCATCTTATTTGGGAACGATATGCGTTTAGGAGACCGGCATTTGAGCAGCAGTAAAAGTTGCTGTGATAGGAACGGGTATCTCTGAACCCCTGGAAACTTCTCTTGTGGCGAAGCTTGTTCTCTGAAGACTGTGGTTTGTATGGCACGAACCACAATATACTACTTCGGTTTCGCTCTACTAGAGGATGTTAACTCCCAAGGCCCTGTGGGATTGTTGCGAACATAGGAATTGCTTTCAAAGGCTTTGCAACTAAGACGGATTCTCTGGCGCCTCTTTATTCTTTGACAATTGTATGCTCGTTGTGCATCACACGATCCACCTTCAATGTTTGTCATTGAGTCGTGTCATGCGCACGAGAGCCAAGGCTCAAGACGCATGTTGTCTTGACCAAGGCGGCAGAGCTGGGCAGAATATCGACCACCAATTTCCCGGAACAAGTCAAACTAACCTTACCTTGGATAAGAAAAACTTTCTTGCCGATGCAGCCCCCCAAATTCAACTTCATGAAGTATTATTGCCTAGGTGGCGCAGGCGTATGAGCGTTGGCTCTAGTCTCAACCCAAACGTAACCGGGGTGGATTGAGTTCTTCGGACGGACACTTTCGACCTTCAACTCTTCAACGGCAGTCACCAGTCGGCCCGTGACCATCGTGATGAGGAATAAACTTAGCCTTATTCCACTTGATTACTGGTGTTTCCGGCTAAGTCTTAATAGCGACCTGAGCTGCGTTCTTCATACGCGCATCCTCTTTGTTGATGCCAACTACTCCGTAACTATGCTTGGAATCAATTGCTCACAACTGTCTCGACTGCTCCTGAATTTAACCGGGGGTACGATCTTCTGTCGTTCATCTCATTTAATCAAAGTTCCAAAGTTTTCTGGATGCATTCACCAGCAGCTATCGTGAAGTGGTCTTAGAAGCGCCACCTAACTGCCTAATATACGGGTCTTATTTGTGGCCGGTTCCACCAGGCAGGCTGTTTAATTTTCTCTCGGAAAGAGAGTTCTGGTCCAGCGTCCATGGACCTCAACCGATCAAAGACTGAAGTAAGAGCTCATCATGTTCTTTTTCAAGACGTTGAGAAGCGCGCGGCAAGTAAGCTGGCTCAACTCTACGTAGCGGGCCGCCGCCGCCCTCACAGGGGCCTTTGAACTTGTCACACCGCCGGCATATACGATTCGTCCGTACAGCCCGTATGTCTGACTCAGAGACTAGAACTTGTACCCAGCTTAGGACTCTGTTGCATTGAAGGCTTCTTGCATTGGTGGTTGCCCAACGCATGTCGTCTTCCTCTCGACCCAATTAAGGCGCTGATAAGTTCAAGGCGCCAGAGGTGCCAAGATGCCGCTTCCATGGGCTCACACCGAAGTGATTCCCGAGGAGTCGGAAAGAGCGATGGCAAGTGGTTACCTTTCCGAGACTTCTCTCATGATCCAAGTCCGGTTGATCAGCTCCACTGATCACTATCACCACGCATATACCACAGCATCATGCCAGATGAAAAAAGAAGCAGTGCTGCAGCTAGACTATTTGTTGACCTTAGGATGCCTGCTCCCCCCGGGGTTCTAATCTCAATAGCCGCTTGCGGACCTCTTCCCGCAAACTGGAACTTTTGGTAGAGCTATGTAGTCGAAAGCTGGAGGCTTCATCTTTAACGAAGGACACGAGGCAGGGTGTCTAATACAAATGGCCATCAGACATCATGGAATTAAGGTCCATTCCAGATGAAGATAGGGGGACAAAAGGGTCCCCCCCCCCCCTCGGCGGGTGCTGAATTGGGGGCTACATCTCTTGGTGCTCATGCTCAGAATCGGACTCGGAGCCTGTCGTCGAGTAGGCATGTAATTGGCGAATAATGGTTGACCTAGATACCACTCCTCCACCCAGCCAGTTTGACCTGACCCGTCGACCTAGACGGGCGCCGTCTGGCTGGTGACGGGAATGGCGTTGAGGGGGTATATATGAGCTCCTTCCTGTGTGTATTCTGTAGATGGGGTAAATATGCATTCGTACACGGGATCATTGTCCGCCACCCATCTCGGCTGGAACACAAGAGAGTGGTCAGCCAGTTGCGTTGAAGGACATAAGGGAACCAACCCCTCCTTCTTCGTGCTTTGGTAGTCATGGGATAGCTTTGCTATTTTTCCATGCGCTGACCGGCTACAGCGGCACTCTTTGACATCTATACCCCGCTAATTCAACAGTCGACGCTTGCTTCTTATACCACGAGGCCCTTCTTCACGATTTTCTCGAGTGATCTGGAAAGTCAAGTGTGGGTTATCAAACGGTTGTGCGAAGTAGGAGGGGATGATTTCAATTTCTCTTCATCAACAAGTAATCCGTCTCCCTTTACACCTATGACTGACCTGGCTCCCAAGGAATCAATTTCATCTTCTATGCCGACGTAAGCAAGGGGCACTCTAGCCTACACACCACGGATACTGGCCCTGTCACTTGCATATCAAATCAACATCACAGTCATATTGGCAGAGTACGCTTAAATGTTTCCAATTGTGGGCATTGACATGACTGCCCTTTTTGTCTATTCGCACCATGCAATCTAGGTATATCCTCCTCATTTCGTAACCAACAACTAAACAACGAATCCAACAAGGCGCCATCGATGAAGTAGCCCATGCCCGTCTAATGCGTAAGAACCCCCAATCGCATGCATGTAAATCGTTCATGAGCAAAGGAGAAGAAAGTGGCCGCATTCCTGCACAGGTCCCATATTCGTAGATGCGCCTTTTCACAAAGAAACCCGCTGAGCTTCGTGTGGCCTGTGATAAACCACCGCGTGGCGCCTTCGTCATGTCGTTCAGTAAACACTACCCAAGATACTCCTGTCTCGCTTCTCCGCAGCGTCAATGTCATCCTCGTCTGCCTCGGAGCCCCGATGGCTGCTATTGGTATCACCAAGGCGGTTGGCGCGGCGCCGCCGGCTCTTCTCGTCTGATTGCTCGTCTTCGGTGTTTGGTGTCATGTTGCCTTTGGTTTGACCACCGACGATGCTGTTGATACTGCCATTGGCGCCGTTATTGTCCCCGTTAGACACAATGCCAACCTTGATCTTGGTCACGGCTGTAATCTCCGGTCTGTGGCCATCCTCCTCGGAAGAGTCTGTGTCACTGCCGGCAATCGAGGTCTGCCCGGAGAAAGTTCCACCAAAATCACGGCCAACATTCAGGTGCGGCGAGATCATGCTCCGTAGGCGATCTTCGGCAGAGATAAAGGATGGGGTTCCATCGGGAGATGAAACGACTTCATGGCGAGCTCGGGTGACGTCGATCTGCGGTGGCCGGCCATCGCTGTCGGTGCCCTCGTCGGATGTGTATCCCTGCTCGCATCGCTTAATGGGTCGCCGTCCTGGTGCAGGGGACTGCCGACGGGATAGGCCAACAGTCCCATTAGAGGTGACTTCGTCCGTTCGGCGAAGGGCTTCCAGGTCGTCTCGCCTCTGGTAGTGGCTCTTGTGATTACACCCGTTAGGACAGCCACCCCAGCGCCGCGTGACGATGAAGGTCTTACTGCGTTCGAGAAGAGTACCGTTCTTGGCATCCTTGGTGGACCTTTCCTGGTTCCCCTCGACCTCGCTCCGTTCCTTCTCCTCTTTCTCCTTTAACTCGGCCCGCTCCTTGCGTAGCTCTGACCATGTCCGGAGTTTATTCTCGAGGATGTACTTGCCGCTCTCTTCTTGCTTGCGCATGATGAGAAACTCGCAATGGTTGACGTTACGCAGGTCCTCAAAGTACTCGACAGTGAAGTGATACCACTTCATCAAGAAGACCCGGGACATGAGGCCGTGGGTAACTAAAGTAGTTAGCAACACAAGACCAAGCGGCTCGGAGATGCCCGACATACCTAGTACACAAACGCTGGCAAAGTCATTCTCGCCAAACTGACGCCACAGACTCTCGTTGAAGCCACTAACTCTGTCGTAGGCGTCTGCGGCGCTCTCGCCATTGGGGATGCGGTAGAAGAAATGGCCGTAATCGGCACGCTCTTGCCACATGCGTTCCATTTCGGCGGAGCACGGCTGGAAGTTACCAAAGTCCTGCTCACGCAAGCGGGGTTCCTCGTAGACCTTGATGTTTGAGCGCTTGAATGGAGACGGGTCCTCCTCGTCGGATGTCAGCGTCGAGAGAATGCCCTCGGTTGTCTCGCGAGTCCGGCGGTAGGGGGAGGTAAAGAAGTGCAGTGTGTCATCGGCGCGCAGCAACTTGCGCAGGTTGCGACCAGCTTCGTAGGCTTGTTGCCAGCCATCTTGTGTTAACTTTACTCGGTGATCGGGTATCGTTTGATGAATATCGCGGTTCTCTGTGTGTTCAAAATCGATTAGCAACCCGGTCGAACGGAGATATCTCGGACCAAGGGAAAAGAGGAAAGAAAGAGAGAGAGAGAGAGAGAGAGAGAGAGAGAGAGTCGCACTGTTGCCCTCGGACTGAGCGTGCCGAATGAGGATGATGAGCCTCGGTTTGACCATGATGTCGGGTTGTGACGGGTGTGTTTTCCGGTTTGTAATCGAGGTCGGGCGCCTAGAGGTTGTTTGAAGCGGTCGAAAATGTGGTTGTCGGCGGTGTAGTGAGAGCGGTGGTTGTTGTAAGAAACAAGAAGTCCTTTATTGCTCCAAGAATATCATTCAAAGAAGGGAACAAAGCTCTGTGCAAACAAAATGGACGCGAGCCTCTTGTCGCAAAAAGTCGTAGCGTTGGGAACCTTGTTGACCGGGAAGGATATGGAAGTGTAGGGGAAAGAATGAGGCGTGGCGGGGCAAAGGCACGAGAGTGGTGGACGGGGGGAGCGGATGCTAGTCGCAGAGGCAAACCTTGGGATGGGGCTGCCGTTGTACGTGTATCGCTTTATGCCAACCTTAACCTTAGGAACAGACGGGGAGAGGGAAAGAGCCTGCTTTAGTAGTGTGTAGACGTTTCCGACCAGCAGGTTGAAGAGGTTGAGATGGGTTGAGTTTGGGTTGAAGGTGCAAGGAACGTAAGGCGTAGCAAGGAGTGGTTTAAGTGGGATGGAATGGACATGTCTGTCATTGCGAGAGAAGTCTCAGGGATGTTTTTTTGGAGGGGAAGTGTGACTCTCAGGGACTCTTTGGGTTGTCTGGTGCATCCATCACCGACTGCATGCATGCGATACGTATGTTTCCCATGCCACTGCCGCCATTAGTGACAATGATCAACTCCCGCATAGGGGCATGAGGACTGTACATCAATCGACGGCGTGTTGCCCCTTGTGTGCCAGGTATTTTTGGGCATTGCCATGGCAAGCCGCAAGCCGTAAGCCAGCCGCAAAACCGCAAATCTCCTGTAGGAGGTATACTAGAGAAAAGGACCCCTCGTCCCACCCAAATGAATGACAGTCAAACAGACCCATCCACACTCTGCCATGTACCTTTACCAGAGACAACCGAATCGACTTCTGGCTCTTTATTCCGCGGGGGGTAAAAGACAGGCAGGGCCGTCCCCCCCCTCCAAGTTTGTTCCAACGAGCCACGGCCCCTGGCCATCTCTTGCTCTACAGCGGGGTACATCGGAAGATCTCAACGCCCTGTCAGCCAACCAGACGTCAGAGGCAGGGCTCGAGCTGGCACCTTGAGACAGGGAATCCGAAGCCCCTGATTGGCGCACCGACCCTCCGACAAGCGGCGAGGCTGTATGCCCCACCTTGAGGCGGCACGGCGGCACTTGCATAGCTTTTCCTCTTTCTTTCTTTTTTTCCCTCCCTTCTCTTTCAATCTATCTCTTTTTACCCAAGGCCTATTCAGCACTGAATAAGTTAGGATACCTAAGAGAAGACTAGTTATTAAGAGTGAGTTAATAGAGGTATTTTTGTAATAAAAATTTAATTTATCCCTTTTAGTTAATGTTAAAGGGGCATGTTTTGGCCTAGGAGGCAGGAGGATGAATCTGTCACCCGCATGGTAAAGGTACCTTATGAAAGCTTAGATTTCCTATGAATGGGGTCTGCGAATACGGACATCCATTCACGTATTGGATTTTGTGAAAAATGGAGGGGAAACGGGGTCCGCCGGCACTGGTACAACTGTCTTACCTGCAGAACCAAAGTGCCCGCATTCCAAGTGAAGCAAAACTACTACCCCAAAATGCATCTTCATCCAACAGACGAAGAGCAAAACGCATACATTCTGTTGGACGTTGCTGTGCAGCTCCTCTTGCTGCAGTCTTCCCAACCAATTTTCTCTTCCTGTGATTGTGATTCACTCATCATGTCCATTTTGCCGCCTGACAACCAACATCACTGTAACCCCATACCCTCATAGTAAGGTAAACTCAAAAAAGTTTGTATACCCGTACCGAGTGCTTGTGTCAATCAAATCCGCATCTCGTCTGGCTCTGACGTGGTTCATCTGCATGCTCCGATTAGGCGCGTTGGCCAGAACCGCCCATTCCCAGCGCTGTCATTCGATAGTCAATCCTGTTCCCCACCTCATCCACACGACCTCACCCACACCTTACAAACTCCCGCCGCCCCCAATCACCTTGCTTCATTTCCTCAGCCTTTCCAACTGGCAACAGGCAATCGCACACCTCGCCGCAAACGTGCTTGACTCTTACGGGGTTTTTTACCAACAGGCAGGTCAGGAACAGCAGACAGCCGCCGCCACCCCGGCCATCTCCTAGCCGCCCACAACCGACAGACCGACCGACCTCTCACCACACCACCGCGCGCCAATCTTTTCCCGCTTAGATTACCTCACCTTACGCCGCGCCCGCGCGCCTCCATCTCGCGATTTTTTTTGGTGGTAACTCGCAATCAAACATCAAGTCACCAACATTCAATCACCCACTCCACCCACTCCAACAGTCACACTTTGCCTAGACCGGGGAAGACTGCAACGCAAACCCCTTAGCTGCGCACGCAGACGGCCGCCATCACATGCGCCTTCCCGCCCGTCCCGTCCGCATAGCCCATCGTATAGCTGCTAGCATAGCACAATCACCGTAGCTGGGCCTACCAACGTTCCTCACCCCCGGATCAGCCCACTCCACATCCAGCCTCATCCCACAATCATACGACTCTCCCCCCGCCAATCTCAAAGCTTCTCAACGCAACCGTCCACCGTCGAACCCGCAGAAGCCGGGCCCTCGACCCGACCTCCCGACCTCCCCATCCCTTCCACACACCCCGAACACCACCGGCAGCGGCAGCAGCAGCAGCAAAAATGTCCGGCGAAGGCCCCGAATCAATCCCCACTTCAGCGGACCCCCGCTCCCGCCGCCCAACAAAGAAACGCGCCCTCACCCCCGTCTCCGAACACGCAAAACACCTCAAAACCCTCTTCTCCAAACCAGACCAAGAGATCCGTCTTCCCCCCGGCGCCGGCGCCGTCGCCAAACGCGCCGTCGCCGCCCCGCCTGAAATCGTCACAAACGTCCAAGGGTCATCCGCCGGCGCCGGCTCCGGCGAGTTCCACGTCTACAAGGCCAGCCGCCGTCGCGAATACGACCGCCTGCGCGCCATGGACGACGAGGTCAGGCAAGAAAAGGAGAACGACGAGTTTGAGCGGCAAAAGGCCGAGCGGGCTGCCAAGGACGAGGAACGCACGAGGAAGAATCGGGAAAAGAGGGACAAGAAGAAGCAAAAGGGTAAAAAGGGACCTGGTGCTGCCTTGGCAAAGGGAGGGGCTGGTACCGCCGCTTCTTCGTCAAGTGGTGGTGTCGCCGCAAGGGCTGCGGCGGAAACATCTACAAACAAGGAGGATGACGATGCCAAGGAGGATAAGGACGGCAAGAGCAATGGCGCAGAGACGGCAACGACCTCGTCAGGAGCTGCTCAGCCCCCCGGTATCGTGATCCACGACGATGACTGATTCATCGTCCCGTGGTTTGGAGGGCCTTTGGGCCTGGACCGGGGGGGTTATTGTTGTTGCTCTCGAGCTTTGAGCCTTTTTTCAAGCTTGAACATAAGCTTGGCGTGACCAAAAATAACTTCAGACCAAACACCAAATGTCCGGTGGGTCCCGCGCCCATCTTAAACATTGATTTGACAGACAGGAGACACAAGGCAGGGGGTATTTCAGAGAGAGCATGAGCATCAAAGCTTTTTTTGTCCTTTGGAGATGTCCCGAGAACTTCAGTCGTCTAGGTAATTTCTAATCCCATATCTATGCATCCATACAGGGGTATGACCTTTTTTTTTTTCTCCATCTTCATCACTGCTCATTGCAACAACCTCTCTTATTCGTCATGAAAAATACCAAATCCGACTAACGTTAACAGGCATCTTATTCATCGCCACCTCCGTGCAGGCCGTTGCCCATTTGCGCCGCCTTTCTTGCGCTGCAAATGTCGTCTACTCTGAGGAGCAAGCAAGCGGACTGTGAGTCATGTATTAGTATTATTGAACAATGTGTAAAAAGAGAGAACGCAGTGGTAAAGGACGTAAAACCAATGTAGACATACCTCAATCGCCGTCTTGATGCTCTGCAACTTGATAGCCTCCGGCTCCCATACACCGTACTCCTTCATGTCGGCGACAACGCCAGAGTCGCCGTTGATACCCCACGAGTGCTTGCCCTCTGCATGCTTGGCACGCAGGTCCGTCAGTACTCTGACGGGGCTGGCACCGGCGTTCTGGACCAAGGTGCGGGGGATAACCTCAAGCGCGTCGGCAACGGCCTTGTACGGCCATTGCTGGACACCCTCGACGCCCTTTGCGAGCTGGCTCAACCGCACCGAGACGGCCATCTCAGTCGCACCACCACCGGGGGAGAGTCTGGGGTTGAACATGACGTTGCGGGCAACACCCATGGCATCCTGCAGATTACGCTCAATCTCGTTGAGCACGTCCTTGGACGGGCCGCGGAGGAGCACTGTGCAGGCCTTGGGGTTCTTGCATCCGGTGAGGAAGGTGAAGTACTCGTCGCCAATCTTCTCAATCTCGAACAGGCCGCAGAGCGTGCCGACATCGGAGTCTTGGATGTCGTCGACGCGGTTGACAATGGTGGCGCCCGTCGCTCTTGCTATTCTGTTGTTGTCCGTCTTGCGAACACGGCGGAGGGCGGTGATGTTGGCCTTCATGAAGTAGTGCTGAGCGAGATCTGTAGGATATTAGCCATTGTTCCCCAATATCTAGCCGACAACAAAACACACCTGAGACGCCCTTCTCGGTAATGACCAGATCGGGCTTAAGAGCGATAATGCCCTCGCACATGGCCTTGACCTGCTCCTCCTCAATCTGCAGGATACGGTTCCAGTCCTCCTCCTTGGAAATCTCGATGTTAGTCTGCGACTCGCCCTTCTTGTACTCCAAGGGGCAGTCGAGGAGGACGATTCTGGGATTCTCTATTCTCCGGCGCATCTTGGGGTGAGTGATGTCCTTGTTGAGCATGACTCCGTCTAGCACTCTGCTGTCCTCGATCTCACCGCCCGGCACCTTCTCCACACGTGCGTATCTCTTGATGTCGACCTCGGTCTTTCCGTTGCCGGCCTCCCAGGTGACGGTGCGGACGGCGCGGAGAGCCAGGTCGCACATCAGGTCGGACCATCTCGAGACGAACTTGGTGCCGATAGAGGAGGAGATGAGACCGCGCATGGCCTTGTCGTCGTTGACGTCGATGGGGAGGGAGATGTCGTCGACGATCTCGAGGGCGTCCTTCAGCGCGCGGCGGAAGGCAGCGATGATCTGTACGGGGTGAATGTTACGCTCGAGCTGGGGGAGGGACTGCGCAAGCATCTCGCCAGCTGGGCCCGGTCAGTCTCTGGCTTTATAAGCAGGATAGCTTTCAGGGGCTTACCCAGAATAATGACCGTTGTTGTGCCGTCGCCAACCTCTTCGTCTTGTGTCCGGCTGAGCTCGATCATGCTCTTTGCTGCAGGGTGCGAGACCTCAATCTCTCTGAGGATGGCGTGGCCATCGTTGGTGAGGACGATACCGCCCATGGGGTCCAGGAGCATCTTCAACATAGCCTTGGGACCTAAGCATGATCGAATAATGTCGGCGACGCTGATGGTGGGGTTAGCGAGTGTCTATAGAGTGTTCGAAAGGACATCGTACGTCTTGGCAGCCGCGATGTTGGACATCTGGGCCTTGCGACCCGTCTGTCGTTCACCGGCGCCGGTGTCTGTAGGGTACGCAGTTAGTACCTGATCGTGATATTGGGGGTAGCTAGTCAGAGCTCTGGGGAAGGAGGGGCTGCCATACTCATTACCACTACTGGGGCCTGCATGGTTGTGCGACGACGATTTGAAAAACTCGATAAAAAATTGGTGTCGTCGAGAGAATGTGTGTTTCGGCGAAGAGCTTCACCGTTGCAGAGGAAACCGTGGAGATGGCGGGGGTGGTGGTGCTGCTGCTGCTCAAGGCACCGGGCTTCTAAAAAGTTCGCTGGGCGGGTTTGTTTTTTGGCGGGATGAAGCTGGAGCTCGGCGGAACCTTTCCCCCGGCTTCACCGAGCTTCACCTAACTTCTGGCTTAGCACACCGATGGACCCACCTTTGACAACGTCCCAGAAAACACTCTCTCACATACCTATGGGGAGGGGAGGTGCGCACGGCAGAGGTAGTTCTTTCTACTGGCTTAATATCGCTTAATTGGGTAGCAGCCACCCGGATAGGCCTTAGCCATGTTCATAATGGAATATTGATGTTGACCTGCCGGCAAGTGTGCCCCTTCCTCTCATACTCTAGCCCACGATGATATGCCTTTTCTCGAACAGAGGAGTAATTCCAGCAGAGGTTTTAGGGCCCAGGGAATTCAGGACGTCTTCAGAAAGAATCAATAAGGAAAGCTAGGGCTCTTTTACATACGTAGGGCCCGCTAGCAAGACGAAGGGTTACCCAACCAGCAGACTGGCCCCTTAGTGACATCACCCCTATGGAATGGTAAAAAAGGCCTCTGTCGAGAGCACCCCCCATCCCAGGTAGGTATTCCTCTTTCGTCTGGAGGTCTAGCTCTTGAAGACTCCCGGCAAGGAAGTATGCTGTACTCAGGCCTGATTGTCTTCGATCTCTTCATAAAAGGTCGGGGGAACGTAGCCGAGGGGTATGATGGGGGGGGGGGACTGTGTACTAACCTGAAAGTCCTCGAGCCTCACTCAACTCAACCTTTTGTTCAATCCCTATTGAAGTCAATTTTTTGTATTCTTTTCTCTCCCTTGTGAAAGCCATGAATCACTCAGAGGACACACTGGGCCGTTGGGCTGGTAAGCACCGATAGATCAAATTCTACTATGGAATGCTCGCTCTTGCTGCACCCAGAATCCTCATGAGCCGCTGCTAATCTGCTGGAAAGAGATCCTATGCCATAGGTTTCCCAGACGGTCATGCCCTGAATCATTGAACCCCCCTCGTCATTTGACGCAACTTCTATCTCCTGCGTACTCTTTGCTGGCAATTCGGCCATTTCCCACTCGATCCCGAACTGCCACCTGGGGTGTTAATCCTGCCAATGGACTTCGTTGCGTAGCCCAGAACTTTTAGAAGGCGCCGCGTTGCCTTGGTGCCTGTTGTATAGCCTTCTGTTTAGACCTTGCGGCCTAATATTATTTCGAGATTGCGACGACTCATGCTGTGAAGGAGTCCACCTTGACTGAGACGCCTGGACAACCGGGGCAAATACTTGCCACTCACCCTCGAAGGTGATGTCTACGATGCACTCATCTCTCGCCATGGCGTCCTGGAGTGACTCCCAACGCGCTTTGTCGATGGCTGCCGCCATATCAAAGCGGTCCCAGAACTCAGCCTTTCTCAGCAACAAAGTATTCTTGCTGACACGCCTGTCTGTTTCTTTCCAGGGAAGACCATCTACATCCGATGCGCAGAGAAAGTCGTCACGCGAGCTGCCATCCGGCATATGACCCTTTTTGGATCCGGTAACGAAAATTGGCACGCCGTCTCTGGAAATCTTTAGCCTCATCTTCACATCCTGTAGACCTAGATCGACCCTCCCTATGGTAAGCTTGTCAAAGTCACTAAGCTGTGGTGGTTCCATCTTGTCCGATTGCTCTTTCAAGATAGGCGGTGTCTTGCTGGGGTCCACCACTACTGGGAGTTTGTCAACCGGCATAGCAATCTTGATGAATGATTGTGGCATTGGCGTCAGTTCGATCGGAGCTGGGCCATTGACTTGGGCCAGAGGCTTGGTTATCTCGATGCATAACCATCTGCGTCTCACTCCGTTGATATCGGTGCTTGGGAAAACTTTTAGCTCGGCCATATCTCGAACAAGAGCAAAAGACTCACATATCCAAATCTATCAGTGATAGCTCATTTTTCCGATCGTGTTTGAAGAACATCTCTGTGGTGAAACTCGAGTCGTCGTCGTTTCCTTTATCAGCATCCAGAAGAGGCCCCGAAAGCCACTCTTGCCTGTTATTCTCCCTTTGGAAGTGTACGTACTGTATCGAACGCCTCCGATACCCGTTCAGTTCCATTGATCTGGCTTGGAAGGCGCTAAAGCTCATGTTCATTGACATGCCGTGATAGTTGGGTTGCCACTCGATGTTCATGATCTGATCAGCACGCCGCCGAGCAATTACTCCAGGAATGCTATGGATGGTCTTGCTGTATGGTCGTGCTACCGCCGTAAGCCTGCGAGATGCCCCTTGACTGTTCATTGATGAGCGAAATGTTCTCTATCGACGAGAAGATAACTTACACCAACATCGATCTGGCTCTGATGTAAGCGCTGTACATGCTCCACCACTCTTTGCCATAATCTGGGCTTTTGTCTGGTAAAGTAATTTCCGTAGATGTAAAGCCAAAACGCCATTTTTCAGCTTCAGCAGCGTCGATGACTTCATTTTGTCTTAAAGACTTCGGCATGGCGAGGGCACGGTCGGTCATATCGATGCCACCTAAAGCCATGATATCGTTTCGAGATTCATGTCGTAAACGGTCTGGGTCTTGTTCAACCTTGGCTCGGTACTCGTCCCTTCGTTGCAATCCAGTGCGGACTCCTAAAATTAGCTTCTCCTGAACGCTCATACCAGGCTTGAAGTCGGACATCTTGGCAAGATTGTAGCCGGCTTCGGTTCCGACTTGGCCATCTGCTTGGTTTCGGCAAAGCGACGCCACGCCTGATACTTTTGTTATTGAAGGAAACCGAATTGAATTTTTTGCATATTCCTCTTACTGTGGCGGGAGACTTCAGGGAAGCAGCCAAGACGAGTTGGCCGCGGTGGGCGAAAATCTGGGTTTCGGACTGCGGCATATCAGCAATGAAATTTCTCTTTCGGAGATAAAAGTTCGTAGCTATAGACCAACCACAATCCTTCGAGCTATTACCTGGGTTTGTAATCGCCATGTTCCTTTTGTGTCTTCGGATATATTGATGCTGTCGCTGTTCTTGCCTCGTTCTTACCATCACCCGAGGTGCTGCCCTGGGCCCGGCCACGCCCGAACGGGTGTCTTGGTCGACTCGCTTTCTTTTAGGCGCGTTGCTCTTGTCTTCGCTCGCGCGCCTCTTTTCATGTGGAACCCAGGGCAAAGTCATGTTGCTGATTGCCTCAGTCGTGGCCGGTTGAAGAGTATGCTGTGGTATTGTACTTGGCGAGACTTGTGTGATGCCTCGAGGATGAATGGCGACTGAACCCCACACGAAAACCAGCAACGGAAGGAGCCGAGTTTTGATTCAGTCCCAATGACTGGTTCGGAATTTTGTATATCAGTTGATTTCGCCCGGAGGCTCGAAAGGATCGTGGAAGGCTGGTATCAGATATCCTAGCCACTTGCGCCGAGTGATCCGGTAGGGAGGTTGTTCGCAAGTAGTGTATCATGCAGAGGAGCGAGATTTGAAGAAGAAGAAGAAGTCTTAGGCTCCATAGAAGTACTCAAAGGCGAGAGCGAGGTTCACTCGTGACGAAAGGAAGGGAAGCTTGTCGCCGCTGCCTTGAACTGAGTGTTTAGATAGGCGGTCCAAAGGTGGCAGAGGCAGCGAGTACGTGCAAGACAAACGAGTGGACAGCCGTCATCGAAGGAGAAAAGAAGGAGAGGAAACAGATAGAACTCTCGTGTTCCAATCTTCGAGGCAAAGAAAATAAAAGGTTGGGTTGAGACTTGCGAAAGACCTTTGGCGGTGTGGGTGGAAAGGCTGAATCTTCAACCAACACCCTCCATGCCTCGTGTCGACCTCTAGTAGAAAGTGTCCTCCCGCTTCAGCTTGGATTCGGTAATTAGCAAAGTATATACACTTTGAAGTGGGTTACATCGGCAGGGTCGAACCGGGCAAGAGTAAGGCCGGATCACCTACAACTTCAGTCTCTCTCTGGTGTCTTGGGCGCTGCCTCGTCCGGATAGAGTAGGTAAGACCTGAAGACTGCGATATATCAGGAAAGAGAGGAGAAGATTACAGGAAGGCGGCTTATATCAGCTATACAAAGCAGGAACAAAGCCATCCCAAACTGAGGTTGAGCAATAACCCAGCTTCAACGACACCACGAATCTGCCTATGGGCCTCAATCAGAGCCACGAGACTCGACAGTCACTTACTCTCCTCACATCCACGCAAGCTGAAGCGGCTATAAGTTCTTAGCGTTGTTTAATGTATTGGGATATCGTCTTTCAATCACGATTACCGCCATCACTGCCTAGAAACCGTGTTGGCCCATACTTTGGACGCCATGCACATAAATCGCCAAAGCTACGACAACTTGTGTCATCCCTATCGTGAATCCATAAGAAGAAGAATAGAAGCTAATGTATAATCCTGAAGTAATCCCCCCTTGCAATAGACCCTCCTCTAGAGGCACGTCTCTATGATGGTATCCGCCTCGAAGCAGTTGTACACAATAAGCAGAAAGGACCATATTAATCATGATGAACCTGAATCTTTCGTGAATCCCTGAAACTCCTGTTTTTCCCCAATGCCATGCCTTGCTAGTATGAACCCCATTTTTGTGTGTTTGAATATAACCGCGCAGTGCGGGTGCCTGTGCGATTGCAGCAAGCAGAAGTGTATGACACACGAGACTTGGTAGTCCTGCCTCTTGTTATTGTTTATCCTGGTTTTGCGTCTTTCTCTAGGCTTTAGAAGAACCTGGACATGGCTCTGCTGAGATCAATGAAGTCGACGGGCTTGGTGACGTAGTCGCTGAACCCGGCCGCAACGCATTTGTCCTGAACATCGGACATGACGTTGGCTGAAAGCGCAATGATGGGAAGCTTCTTGAACCCTTGTTCTTTCTCCCATTGTCGAATTTCTCGGCAGGCCTGGTAGCCGTCCTTGCGTGGCATATGCAAGTCGCACTAGAAAGTCAGTCAGCGGAGTAGCTTGTCTTGCGGAATCATGGGTACTTACGAGTATCAAGGAATAGTAGTTGTGGGCGTGTCCAAACACCATTTCGGTACACTCGGCGCCGTCGGCAGCCACTTCAACCTCCACGCCAACTTTCTTCAAGTACTTTTGCAGAACCTTCTGGTTCACAGGGTTGTCTTCAACCAGTAGCACCTTATACCCTTTGTTGCCCATACGTTTTCCAATCTCCTGGTAACTCGCCTTCTGAGTTTCAACCATACGTTGCGCAGTTGAGCGGTTGCGATCAACGCTCAAATCGCGGACCTTGTCAGGATCGAAAATGACGGCAAACCTCGATGGCTTGACAGGTTTGTAGATGAAAGTGACGACATTGTCTGACACAAGTTTCTCATACTTCGTATCAGTCGCAAGTCTCATTACAGCTTGCCGTTGAACTGAATCTGATAGAATGAGGATTGTCGTATTGCTGATGGTTGTCGACTTGGTAATCTGCTCCATGAGGCTGATGATCTCCTCTGGAGACGGCAAGTTGAGGACGATATGAGTGAAATTGACGGACTCCTCTCCCCCAAGCAACTTCTGCGCCTTTTCGGTAGAGTCTAGTGCCGTGATTTGATGAGGTACATCCTTCGGCAGGGTCATCTCGATATGTTGCGCAGTGGCTTCACGACTATGAGTCTGAGGACAGATGATGAGGATGGAGTACATAGGAGGCTTCAAGTCTTCAGGCTTCGTCGGTTTGGAGGTCTCTGGTGTGGGCGTCTTGCCTGGCGAAGACTCACTGGAAGGCAGCTCAAGCTTCATTTGCGACAGATCCTGACCACTTGCTCTTGCAGCTTCGCTGAAGTGAACAAGCCCAACGTTGATCGAGGACACGGACGTAACAGACGTACGCTCTGTAGCCCGAGAGATGCCAGACTGGACTGATGGAGCTGAACTTCCGCTAGAAGCGACAGCAGGCGACGTGAACTCAGTATCAGTCTTGGGGCTATCTGTCGATGCGAGCGTAGGTGAGGGCAAGTTCTTTGAAGGGCGGATAGCAGCCACATCTTGAGTCACCTTAGAAGTAGGATGCAAGCTCTCAGGGCTCAAGGGTGCATCAGGGTGATCCTCCTTTGTCGGCAAAGCAAACTTGGCAGTGAAGGTGAACGTTGATCCTTTGCCAGGGACAGCGCTTCCTTCCATCTTGCCTCCGTGGAGTTCCACCAACTGTCTCGAAATGACCAGTCCAAGGCCACTTCCGCCGTGCTGTCTGGTGCTGCTTCCATCTATTTGACTGAATGGCTTGAAGATGAGGTCTGCCTCCTCCTTTGAGAAACCGCGACCTGTGTCAATGATGGCGAATTCGAGCATGATCTCGTGCTGCTCCTGGGCCGGATCTTTGCTGGTATGAACCCTGCATCGGCTGAAGACCTCTCCCTCGGCAGTGAACTTGATGGCATTGCCAATGACGTTAAGGAGCACTTGGCGAATGCGGACCTTGTCGCCCTTGACCCAAGCCGGAACATCCTCCTCCACAATATAGTTGAGCTCTAGTCTCTTAGCAATAGCCATGGTGGAGACCAACTCATTGACATCCTCAATGAGAGAGCGCGTATGGAACCATTCGTATTTGAGCTTCATCATTCCGGCATCGACCTTTGACAAATCCAGAATGTCATTGATGATCATCAACAGACTGTTAGCACTGGTTTGAATAGTGTTGGTGTAGTCTCGCTGCTCTTCGTTGAGAATGGTGTCTTGTAGGAAGCTGACCATTCCCGAAATACCAATGAGTGGCGTCCGGATCTCGTGCGACATGTTGCTCAGGAATCTACTCTTAGACTCCATAGCCTCCTTGAGTTTGGCTTCGAGTAGTTTGTGGTCGTTGATGTCCGTGGCTGAGCCAAAGTAGGAGCTGGCTCCGTTTCCAAAGTCAATGTTGTCGATCTCGACGCACCGGATCAGGTGCCACCTATACTCTCCGTTCTTTGATCGTAACCGCACCTCGGTCGTGTATGATAGTCTGCCATTGCTGTCGGTTGTCACTTTGATAATGCCCTGCCTGGCCAAAGCCGTCAGATCAGCGGTGGGCATCTCGTAGACCGAGCTACTGCTCGAGCTGTTATTCCGTGACAAGGCTTGGTGGATGCCTCGAAGGTTGGTTTCCATCTGGCTTTGCGTTTTGCCTGATACAAGGCCAGCCAACGTCGCCTCAGATGACACTGGGTCTTGGTGGCCTGTGCGATCGAACTTGAAGGGCATCGGCGTTGGTGGTCTGTCTGTGGGTATGTGGCATTTAGCCAGATCATCAGGATGCACAAAGTCCATGAAACCCAGGCCGAGGCAGTCTTCGAAACTCTGCCCCGTGTACGAAAGCCATTGCTCGTTGGCAAACGTGATGCCTTCGTCTTCGGTCGCAGTGAATATGATTTGAGGGATGAGGTTGGCCAGAAGTCTGTGCTTCGCCTCTGAGGCCTCAATCTCCTCTTGCCGTGCAGCCTTAAGTTCCGCGATATGTTGGTCATGGATATCCATATAGGAGCCGAGGAATTGCATCATGACTCCACGTTTATCGCGGGATGCAACGGCACGAGCATAGAACCATCGGTAGGCCCCATCGAAGCGTCTGATGCGAACAGTTCTCGAGAACTGTTCACCAGTGCGTAAGGAATGGCTCCATGCCTTCAGATATTCGTCTCTGTCGTCCGGGTGAATGCTGCCCCAAGGGTCGGCAGCCAAATCAGAGACTGTCTGACCACGGTAGGTAAGG